TGACTCGTACCATTTTTTCTGCGTTTCCCCCACATGTCTTGGTATGGCCGAGAGTGGGCTGGGTCCGCCCTCCCTCTCCAAACGCTCCCACACGGTCACGCGTATACAGCCTCTGCCAGGGAAATCCTACTCATTGCCTTTTCGTCGCGGGGTTGTTGTTTTCGAAATTGAGAGGACGAAAAGCGAATGCCCGGCGCTTTAACCGGATCCCAAACCAATGGTGCACATGGGCTCCAGTATCCTGAAGGAACAAATGGCGTATGAACCAATCGTTGGTCACCAGCTACCATTGGACCGTATCTCCTTACGATGCTTCACTGCCTTGTGGGTTAGACCTTTAGGTCAAAGGCAGACCCATATTCAAGGCTCTGGTGAAGTACTACAAATTCGCTCTCCATCTGTCGCTTTGAAAATCTTGTTTCACGTGCGCTTATCCGGGGACCCTGTGGCATCTTCGTCTGGTCTTGCTGGCGTTGGTGTCGCACTAAGCGCTAGAGCTGAGGCAGCACTAGTCGATTGGATCCCCATTAACAGTCGGTTATGTGCTGTTACATTAGAGAGTTCCATCAAAGTGAGAAGAAATCGGCGTGAGAAACGATGTCTTTTCGTCATCTCCGCCTATGCCCCGACAGATTGCAGCCCGGATGCAATCAAGGATGAGTTTTACCACCAGTTATCAGTTCTTCTCCAGAAAGTGCATTCGACAGATATTGTAGTACTAGCCGGAGACTTGAATGCCCAGGTCGGGCGTCTAGGCACAGAAGAGAGTCGTTTAGGTGGCCAATGGGGACTCGTTGGCGGCAGGACAGACAATGGGGACAGTCCACTGCAACTGTGCACAGACCACAACCTGTTTCTGGCTGGCACTAACTTCCGGCACAGTCATCGCCGATGTGCCACCTGGCGTCCTCCCTCTGCATCTCAAGCCTGGACTCAGATTGATCACATCGCGATCAGCTACTGCTGACGTGGTTGTAAACAAGGCTGCGGCTCCTTTTGGAGTACCTATCTGGACTCTGACCATGCTTTGGTCTGCGCCAATCTTGCCTTACTTTTCAGTGGACAACGAAGTGAACGCCATCAACGGATTGATGTTAGCAAGCTGGTTGCAACTTCTGTTGCAAGTAAGTATCGAACCGAGCTAGCCTCTAGGCTAGCTACCACTCCACCGAAAAGTATAGATGAGCATTGGTTGCAATTGCATGACGCCATGAAAATGGCGGGAACAGTCAGTTGTGGGTTTGCGAAACGTCCCGCTTTTAAGCACTGGGTTTCTTCTGGTTCCTTACAACTCATTGAAGCCCGTCGGTCTACTCCGGGTGACCGTGAGTTTGACCATAAACGAAGGATGTTACGTAAGGAAATTGGGCAAAGCTTGCGTAAGGACCGAGAAGCCTGGTGGTCGATGCGTGCTAATGAGCTGGAAGCAGCAGCTGCATCTGGTAACTACCGGAAGCTCTTCCAGCTCATCCGAGTCACTGGCAGCAAGACGTCTGGTGTGAGTGATACAATCTGCGAGGATGATGGGATGCCAATCACCAACATCCATCGACGTCTTGGACGATGGGCAGAATTTTTCGAAGGTCAGTTCAACTGGCCTGCTGCTCCGGCAACATCGGTCAGACTGTCCTACCCTCCATGGCCGGTGACGACTGATCCACCAAATGAGGAGGAAGTCCGCAAGGAACTCCAACTCTTGAAGCTCTACAAATCACCTGGCCCAGATGACTTACCTCCGGCTCTTTTTAAAGATAGTGGTGACTTTTTGACTAAGGAATTGACGACGTTGTTTACAAAGGTTTGGGAACTAGAGAGTGTACCAACGTCATGGAATGAGTCGATAGTTGTCCCTATCTTTAAAAAGGGTTCACGTCGTTCCTGTAACAACTATCGGGGGATAAGTTTACTTCCGATTGCGTCCAAGCTATTGGCTTCCGTCATACTTCGTAGGTTGTTCAAAACCCGAGAAAGATTGACTCACGAGGAGCAGGCTGGGTTTCGTTCTGGTCGAGGATGTATTGATCATATCTTCACCCTCCGCCAAATGTTAGAACACCGCCATACTTATCACAGGCCAACGATCGTAGTGTTTCATGACATTAGGGCTGCCTTCGATTCGTTGGACAGGGCTGTTCTCTGGGATTGTCTATTGAAGAAGGGTGTGCCTGAGAAGTTTATTAACATCTTGAAGTCCCTATATACAAACACCTCAGGCAGAGTGAGGGCATACAACCACCTCTCTCAATTGTTCGATTCAAGCAGTGCTAATTAGCAGTCAAACGCCATTATATCTCTTCACTTATATCAGTACACGTGGAAAACTACGGACACTCATTCGATTGGGAAAATGTAGAAATCTTAGGCAGAGGAAACTCCAAAAACACCAGAGAATTTTTAGAAATTTGGCACTCAGGTCAATCAGCAATCAACAAACATATTGAAATCAATCCAATTTATCAACCAATCAGGAAAATCATGCATAAATAAAGGAACAAAAATCAAACCAATGGGAGACACAACAAAAACAAAGAAGTAAACAATGATAAATTTAAGGTCAACAAGAACCAATCAACATCGAGGTGCACAGAACAAGCTTTGAGACACATATGGAGAAATTTGAACACTTCACTTCTATCTGAAGTTTGTGCTGATGATGTCGTTCAGAAGAACGATGAAAGCTCCACCAACAAACCATCCAGCTCAGAGAACAAAACTCCACCAAAATCATCCACCTGAGCTACAAATCTTCTCCACCATCTCAAGAGTGAGAGCATACAACCACCTCTCCCTATTGTTCGATTCAAACAGTGGAGTTAGACAGAGTTGCTCAACCTCAACATTCCTCTTCAACTTTGCCATCGATGACATTCTGGAAACAGCTCTGATGGATGCAAGTAGTTATCGTATGGATCTGTTGCCTGGAGAAAAAATTCTCGACCTTGACTATGCGGATGATATTGTCTTACTGTGCGATAATGCCCAAGACATTCAATTCTCACTTAATCAGTTGGCAATCAGTGTCCGTAGGTATGGTATGTGCTTTGCACCTTCGAAGTGCAAAGTACTTCTACAAGACTGGCAGGATTCTAATCCTGTACTCACACCCTGGGTATTGAGCAGATAGAAGTAGTCGAGAAGTTTGCGGATATAGGTGACTAAATAAGTGCTGGTGGTGGCGTGAGTGATGAGATCAATGCACGTAAAGTGAAAGCCAGAGTGGCTCACGCCAATTTGGGCCACATTTGGCGCCTTCGTGATGTTAGTCTGACTGTAAAAGGTCGGATTTACAACGCGTCGGTGAGAGCAGATTTGCCCTATGCTTGTGAAACCCGGTCTCTCCGAGTTGAGGATGCCGGACGACTCTCTGAGTTTTATCATCGCTGTCTCCGAAGGATTGCTGACATCCAGTGGCAACACCATGTTAGTAATGCAGAGGTTCGGCATTGTGTGTTCGGACACAGAGATGATAATTCAATTGGTGTCACCATCTTGAAACACCGACTTCGGTAGCTTGGACATGTTCTATGAATGTCGTTCCAGAGAATTCCTCGTCGTGCATTATTTTTCGATGCTGGGGCTGGTTGGAAGAAGCGGAGAGGTGTCAGTGTATGACATGGTGTCGTGGTATGAAAGAAAGCTGCAAAGGACTGGCTTCTGTCGGTCCTTCACGACTCCCTGGTTGTGGTCCGAGAGATGGTGCAACATAGTGGCTAGAGACGTTATCAGATATGGCTCAGAATAGAAGTCAGTGGCGATCCTGCTGTAACCTTCTTTCACTTTCTTCGTAGGAAAAGGCTTGTCTCTTGCTTATCTGAAAGATTTCTTCTGATTTTACTTTTCCGTTTCCTCTATTATTACCTATATTATTATTATTACACTACCTTACACTAATCTGTCGGTTATTGTTCTTTTTTTATCTCATTGTTTTGTGTGGCGCATATGTATTTGGTGCCCTTTTGTGCCAATATTTTTTTTCAAATAAATAGATATACAAATTCGCTCCGTAGACTTCTGTATGATATTGAAATAATCGGTTTTCAAACAAAGTGTCGTTGTAGGTTGTGATCATTTGTGGGACGGCAAAATTCATCATCCACTTTCCAAGAAACTTTCTGACGACTTTTGTGGCTGCAGTAACTCCTTCAACATATATGTACTTAGTTTACAATTAGGTGAAGAATTGATGTTATAGGATGTGATTTAAATGTATAGATCAAGGTGAAGTATAGGTGTGCCCGTGGTTCATTATGCTATGTTGTGCCTCCAATTTTTGGGTGTCACCCTCAATGTTTGTGTTGAGACTGAGCCTGAGTGGATGTTTAAGGGGGTGTTCAAGAATGTTTAGATTTTATAAGTCATTAGAAGTTCACCACTAAGACGGCTATAATCTAATGGGTAATGATTAATTGGTTTGAGATGTTCTTCATAAGGTTTGAATTTGAATCGTCGTGGCTCTCAGTCGGTTACGCCACAGTGTGTTCTCGCCCTATTGAAGTGGGGGAGGACACACTATTTCAAAGCTCTAAATGTGGTTGAACAAAATTTTTTAAGACTAAGTGGGAATTTTCACCGTTGAACTAGTCAAAAATTTGTATTAACATTACCAGTCCAAGATTTGCCTGAGAGGTATTTTTGTCTCAGTTAAGGTGCAACTTTCGATAGTAGGGTACCAACACTCCTGGATCTCTTACAGCTTGAGATATCTCTAGAGCAGAGTTACCCATGTTACATGCGTTATCTGAAACACGTCTCAGATGGGCTACTCTACACTTTTTTTATCTGCCCGACTTTGAAGTTGGGTCATATCCTCTTGAAGTGCCACCTTATTATCTCGGTTGCGAAATTCGTTTCGGGTGCTCATTTTATTTCAACTGTGTTATTGAAGAAATAGTTCTGTAAGTTTTCCCTCGGATAACCTTAACAATTATCACCCAAGGAACCATCCTTATTACTGAAGACTGATAACAAATAAACAAAATGGATTGCATTAGCTCGCCACACGGTCATTGGATAATGAACATATTGAAACCTGACTTCTAATAACTATGGTCTAGATTATATTCGAACACTTTGGGTGAGAAATAATAAAGTCTTTTTCGAATGTTTGAAATGCGTATTGAATGTTGAGACTGATTGTCCTTCGCAACTCAGTTTGCTTCATATTCGAAATTCTGGGTAATGTCAAAGAAAGCTAAACGTGCTTTGAAGTCAATAGCGGATTACTTATTCCTAAGTAAAAGTGCACATGGAAGCATATATTCTAAAAACAGACACAAAGGTTATTTTCATCCTTGCAACATAATTCCTAATAAATATATATACAGAATTCGAATATGTTACAAATTTACCTTTACAGATGTTGTTTTATTTCAACTCGCTCTATTCCCCATTTTGGTTTATCGGAACGCTAATGACACTCATTATAGAGGTAGATTCTTGAAAATATATTAATTAATAGCTTGATAACTTTATAGTTCGAATACTTAGACCCCGTTTATAAAGTAATTAATACTGCCGTATTCGTCTTATACTCTGTTTTGGAAGGCCTTAGACTGTACCTTGGGTATGCTGGAAATTTGATGGAGCTGGTATTTCCATATGATTCTTCTAACGTTTTCTTTAGGTCCCTGAACTAGCTGGATCATGGTTACTGACTATTTTGATACAACTTCCAGCTATTTCTTTCATGTTATTCAACTGTGATATGATTATATCATCATTTGAGAGAACTATCCATATAATTGAGTTTATAATGGTAGTCTTTGAGTCTTTGGTTGGATTTTTTGTTCTAAAACTTATGGTACAATTGCAAGCCCTAAAGTTCCATTCACATTTACGCTCTCGTAAGATTGAAAATTTTGAAAACAAATCTCTTGAATATCAGATGTGATTTTTGATAATAAATTTCGCCTTTTTACTTGGTTAGTCTAGACTCATCGTAAACGTTGTTTTGGTATCTAAGTCCTAGATTAGTGCGGATTACTTCATCATCACTCATTTTCAGTTACTTTACTGCAAGCAATTAAGTGAAGCATTTACTAAAAGTCCCGTTTTTTAAAATCTGCAGTAACAGCACTGAAAGTAGCGCACGAGATTGAAATTTTTAGATCTATCGGAAACGTACCTTAGTAGCTACTAATGAACCAGTGCTTGAAGGATGTAGTGTATTAAAATTAAAATACAATGCACAATGGTAGTGCGCAGAGAAATTGTCATTTCACATAGACACCAAATAGTAACGGTCTATGGATAATTAAAAAAAGTCAACCAACGTTTACTGGTTCTTAAAATATTTCTACGAAGTATCACTTTCTCCTTAAGTTGTTCATTCTCAGGAGCCAATTTTACCTTCTGATGTAAATCTTATTTGTGGACCAGCAGACGATAAAATATTTCTCCATATTGATTCTTCAAAGTGAACATTTCGAAAGAGTTTCAGATTTTCGTCGGAGACTTTAATTATCAGAAGAAAATCCACCTAATCTATATATCATAATTTAGGACGAAAAATATTCGTAAGTCATCTTTTCCTTGATCACATATTACGGAAAAAGTTTAGTTGCTCCTTATAAATGTTTTCAGAAGGTCCAGCTACCGGATTGTCATCTAATTATTCGGAAGTATTAAAGTAGTGCTTATTCTCGTAGGTTGGTTGACTGCTTAGATCCGATGGTCCAACACAAGAGACCATCATCGAGGCGTTTCAAGGTGTTTGTGGATGACCGTAGTACTAATATGCGTTATCGTTATTAGTGCTGTAATGTGGTTTCACACCGAATCACAACTTGTATCAACTGGACAGTAATTTCATACAGATTGTGTGATGGATGGAATGGTAGCTGCAACAAATGTACAACGCTTTACTCTCATTGAAATCAAATTTGCCATATTACTGATTGGAATACTGAAGCTGGCTTGTAGCTCAACTCTATTTTTTTACGAGCACTATCACTTCAACGATAAAGACAGTAGGTAAGTTGGCTTGTGCTAACCCTAGCAACTATTATTTCTGTCAAGATCATGTTCCTCCATGGAAATGTTGATACTAATTATTTGGATAGTATGTGCAACCTGACGATCATTCGGAGACAAGAGGAAATCCACCCTAATTTTATTCTAAAGTGACTATTGAGCCGGAAATGGTTAATCGTCAATGAAAAATAGATAGATCATTTTCGTACACAAACCGTTATTAGAAATGAGGAATGGTGAAATAAGGTCACCTCGTGATCTGTCTTGAAACAAATGGAAATATCTGAGAATTTCAATCACTTCTCATAGCAGAGGTTTAAAAGTTCTGCTATAAAAAACAGAATGCTAACATTTGAATACACTACTGCGTCTCTGCATCACTCTAATGCAAAAAAATTGATGATCTAGATAACTTTTATAACTTATTTGGAATTTTACAGTCATAGGTTCATGTAATTTCATTTTAAATAGGTCTATGTGTCTTAAGCTTGGGTATTTCTCTTTTCTTTCCGATTATTGTAAATGCAAGCCAGATAAAAAATTTGTTATAAAGGATAATTTTTTGCTCATAAACCTGAACAGGTGGTTAGCACCAGAGTTCATGCTTCTGGTATATTTATCAACGTATACTGATGTTGATAATAGGGAGATTATTATCTTGAACGAATGAAATAAAATGGTAATACCGTACGTTATTTGAAAACATTTAGCCTTGAAAATATCATTTTCAAGGGACATTTGCAAGACTAGAATAGCCACTCACCATTTAGTTCCGCATTGTATTTATTATTCTAAAAGGATTTTATTTTTCTGTTGTTGCTGTTAACTATTATGGTTGAACAATCTCTTTTAACGTATGTGCATCTCGATTACACTGTCATTCTACTGGCTAGCAGTAGAATCTATGACATCCCTCTTGTGTTATCTGGGACTTGTCAGCTGGTTATGCATGGATGCCTGTATTGATACTAATGCCAGGACTCGAACACAGGAGCTTTCACTTCAAATGGTCAATGAGTTATCCATTGATCAAATGGGTTCAGATAGTCACTAGCCTATACGGCAAGGATATATGTCTGTTTCATTATTTAAAACACTAGGATGCAAGGGCATCCATCTGCCGAGTTTTGACCTGGACAAAATGCACTTCCTTGATTCTACTGCTACCTTTGTCCAAATTTACCTTATAATGATATACTTATGTAAGTCATTTGATTTCTGATAATGTCTTAAATACTTCATTTTTGACGATTGATCAAAGGCAATATGAGCTTTAGTATTCATTAAAATCCTTTAGAGCTGAATTCTCATCTATGAATGGCAGTGAAGCAGATAACGGAACTCAGATTTTCTACTTGGAGTATCATCATACCTTCAAATCGGCATTTAAAATATGTTAAGTCTCTTCGAAGAAATAAAAATTACCAAAATAATATCCATCAAAAGCCTTATAATCTATAACCAATGTGATTGATACGTACCAAGCGTTGGAAACGAAAAGTGCAAAATCACAAACCGATATCCACAAGACAAATTGGTAAGACTATAATTTATGGACGACCTTTGAGCGACGATAAAGTGATCTTGAGGGTGTCCGCCTACTTACTAGGGCTAAATGAGGGTAATAAATCAGTTTGGAAAATAACGATTAGGATTAACATTTGATGGTTAGGGCTGGGAATTAGATTTACGGCTCATCATCACGAACTGACATCAGCTAAAATGCCAAGACGCTATTTGGCCAAATGGGTGAGTGAATTTTACGCCAAAATCTAAGACCTATTATCCTAAATCTGATTGGTTCGTCCATAAATTGTAGATTCACCGCAATCTAGACAGGAACTTTGATTTTTCTTCATTTTTTGTACCTACTCAACATTATCACGGAAAAGGCTAGTCGTTTATCAACTTTAAGAGTCTTGGGTATTCATTTGGTGAAATTCCGTTATTTAATTTCTTACACTTTACAACCAATCATTGTAAAGATGAGGAGTATTTTCCATTCGGTTAGATACCGATTAAAATTTCATGACATTGTATTTGGTCGTAGGTCTATTTAAGTGCCCAGTTTTGGCCTAAAATCCACCTACATAATTGAGGTTTCCATCTGGTGATTATTTAATGTAGTGTTGATATTACGTAATAATTTGTGATTTTATAGCTTGTTAATTGATAGAATAAGCCTATCAAATGACTATGCTTGATACATTGTAATTTATCGAACACTTAGTGACTTGGTAGCAAAATAAAAAAATTATAAATTTGAAATATATGCACATATTTGACAGCAAAAATACGGTTTTTCGGCAAGAATTTTTTTAAAACTACGTCAGCTTGTTTTTTTTACAGTTTCGTTATTTGTGTCCTGGATACTGCGTTGGTTGTTATGTGATGATTTAGCTACTCATACTGAGGTAAATGAAAGATAAACACACCATACTATTAACAGCTCATATGAATGATAGATAGACATTAGAGATATCATTATTGACCGGATACCATCAGTAACAGCCTCCTGTGGGAGGGAACAAACCAGCTTCCAGCTGAAGAAGAAATTAGAAGATGATGGAAATGGATAGAACATACATTACGGAAATCACCAAACTGCATAATGAGACAAGCGCTAACTTGAACTGCTGAAGGGAAGCGGAAAAGAGGAAGTTCAAAGAACACATTACGTTGGGAAATAGAAGCAGATATGAAAAGGATGAATAACAAATGGAAAGAGCTGGAAAGGATCTCTTGGAACAGGTTTTAATGGCGAATGCTGGTAAGCGGCCTATGCTCCTTCACGAGGAGTAACAGGCTTAAGTAAGTAGTAAGTAAGGGATATCACTGCCATCATAATGACTCATATTTGCTACAGCAATACAGCTGAATATGATTACCTCTGATCTTCTAACAGTTAATACATTTTAATCGTTTAAAGATCCCCGTCATATTAAAAGACTAGTATTTGAACGAAGAATATTCTTTTCGATAAATTCTCTTCAGGTTCTACAATTCATATATCCAAATTAATAATCCGAAGAAATGGTCAGGTTAAGGGCAAAGTACATCGTTTAAAGCATGTGAATTTAGGATTGTGATAAACAAAATACAATAAAATTGTTAATGTTAATATGACTCATATCAGAATGTAAACTTGAATCTGCGTATATGTTAAGTGTACATGCTAAGATCCATGATCAGAATAAATATGGGTCAAATAGAGTGAGAGAGAAATAATAGTGCAATTACAATTGGATGGTTAAGATCATGAGTCAGTTGAAGCTAGACCACCATGGAAAACCTGGAAGCACTGAACGGCCGTTTCGTCCTATTGTGGGACTCCTCAGCAGTGCGCATCCACGATCCCGCACCACGCGGGGCTCGAACCCAGGACCTGACTCATAATTTCAATCTGTGAAAATTTCTAAAAAAATCTCCACAAACCCTATCTGATAGTTAATACATTCACGACGCAAAAATACGGAATATGGTACAATATCTTACCGGTTTAAGTTACTTAGTTTTCGAACACCTGTGTTATCTAAAACAGATATGTTAGATGAACATAATTGCACATTCCAACGCTTTGCACATGAATCTTCCAAATACTCCCTTGTTTAGTTCTGTCTATCTGTATATTCGTTAATCATATTCCACTACTATATTAATGTATAAATACTTAATAGACGTTATCTAGTTGATACTCTGGACAGTTTGAGTTTATTTCAATAAAAATCGGATTAGGTCAGTCTAATGCAGTCCTGAATTTATTTCATTACAATATAATTACTAGATGTTCTATTGTCAGCGTTACTTCTGTTCTAATGTGACTGCTGATGATCCTAAATGACTTTGTCAGTATAAATCCAATTGAATTACAAAGAGGTCTAAATTTGGGATTATTCCAACACTACTATTATTGTGGTCCAATTGTGTTCACTCAGTCCTATTATACTTTGATTGCTTATTACTAGTCTACATGCTAATTAGTTCAATTACTTAAATATATACTCAAGAATATTTATATTTTATTTGTAATGGTTGTTCAGGTCTTTCCATTTTTGTTTAAGACTAATTGATCAGTCTCTTTTTGTCATATGTGCATCCTATGTGGATTGCCTTGAAATTGAAACTTACAAGCATTATGAGCGGAGATGGATGGTGGCTAGCAGTAGGATCGAGGATGCGCGATTCATCCTATCTTGAACTCGTCAGTTAGTTGTCCCTGCAACCCAAAGTTGATGTTTAGTCAATCCTATTATACTTTGATCATTTATTACTACTGTATATGCTAGTTAATTCAATTACTGAGATGTATACTCAGGAACACTTATATTCTAGTTCTTACTTAATCCATTTATCCCAGGTCATCGAGTATGAAGATAATGAACATAACATCAAGTTTCATTTAAAATCAATTATTAGCTACATGTTTTATGGTCATTCAGTAACAAGATTAGATGGTTGACTTGGACGTACTCATGTGATTTTTTTTCACTGAAGCTTTAATACATTGATAAGTTGTACTTTAGTTCCACCCAAATAATAATCATTCAATTATTGTGCATAATTAATAATTAGGTATTGATTCAAAACAATGAAATCACCTCAATAGTGAAACAATATGTCACTGTCTATCCAGTGATTTGCTAAATTAACTTACTTACTTACTTACGCCTGTTACTCCTCGTGAAGGAGCATAGGCCGCTCACCAGCATTCTCCATCCAACCCTGTCCTGGGCAATCCTTTCTAGCTCCGTCCAGTTGTAATTCATCGTTTTCATATCTGCTTCTATTATCCGACGCAATGTGTTCTTTGAACTTCCTCTTTTTCGCTTCCCTTCAGGATCCCAAGTTAGGGCTTGCCTCGTGATGCAGTTTGATGATTTGCGTAATGTATGTCCTATCCATTTCCATCGTCTTTTCCTAATTTCGTCTTCAGCTGGAAGTTGGTTTGTTCTCTCCCACAGAAGGCTATTGCTGATGGTATCCGGCCAATGGATGTTGAGTATCTTGCGTAGACAGCTATTTATAAATACTTGTACTTTCTTGATTGTGGTTGTTGTAGTTCTCCAAGTTTGAGCTCCATACAGTAGAACTGCCTTGACGTTCGTATTGAAGATTGTGACTTTGATACTGGTTGAAAGTTGTTTTGAGTTCCATATGTTCTTCAATTGTAGGAAAGCGGCCCTTGCTTTGCCGATCCTCGCCTTTATGTCTGCATGGGATCCTCCTTGTTCATCGATGATGCTTCCCAGGTATGTGAAGGACTCTACATCTTCCAGAGTTTCGCCATCAAGAGTGATTGGATTGCTGTTCTCCGCTTTGAATTTGAGGACCTTGGTTTTCCCTTTGTGTATGCTGAGGCCTACTGATGCAGAGACTGCTGCTACACTGGCTGTCTTCATCTGCATCTGTTCGTGTGTACGTGATAGGAGGGCTAGGTCATCTGCGAAGTCCAAATCGTCTAATTGATTCTGAGCTGTCCATTGTATTCCGTGTTTTCCTTCAGATGTAGAGGTCTTCATAATCCAGTCGACCACCAGAAGAAAGAGGAAGGGAGAGAGTAAACAGCCTTGTCTGACTCCGGTCCTTACTTGGAATGCATCTGTCAGCTGTCCTCCATGCACTACTTTGCACTGTAGTCCG